CCTAACCCTCCCATAGAGGACAGGTCAAGGAGCCCATCCCAGCTATGAGCAGAAACGGCACCATCACTGTGATCCGACCTGACTAGGCTAATCAGCAGTGTTAGTAACGTGGGCTTCATGGAACAGCTGAAGCCTGGAAAATGCAGTATGAAAGAGTCACCAACCAGGACAAGGTTGGAGTGCTTCTTTCTGCCTACACTGTGGTTTGATGAGCATCTGTTAGAGAAGCCTTGAAAGAGGCTTCCTCCTAGGGTTAGCTTGACCTAGCTGCCTGCCACTGGGCAGGGGACAACCGTTCAGGCCACGCCTCTGCTGTGATTTCAGGTTGAGTACCCATGGCTGTTGGCTGCTTGCCGTGCCTGCTGACCTTCCAGTTTGCTTAGGTGGATGTCTGTGTACATTCCCTCAAGACAGAGAGGCCCAAAGCCTGCTTAAAACCAGAGGGCAGCAGAATGAAACGCTCACAGGAGGCCCCAAAGCCTGAAAGCCAGGCTACCCCGAATGACAAAGATGTCCTGAGACTGGTGTGTGTTAGTGTATGCCTTCTTCCCATTTCTCTTCTTCCCCCTAACACTGAAGTAAACGAGCCCAGGGGATCTTACCCCAGGGGCTGAAGAGATAGGTCAGAGCGCTTGCTCTACAAACATGAGAAGGGAGTTTGAATTCGAAGCACTGTAACCCTAGCACTGGGGAAGGGGACACAGGGAGATCTTGTGATTCTTGTTCTGGGAGAGAGCTTGTACTAAGACAAGGTTGAGAGCAATAGAGGAAGACTTCCAGTGTCTTCCTGCTCCAGCTTCTTGTGCAACCAGGGCATGTGCACACACACACACACACACACACACACACACACACACACACGTGCGCATGCACACACACGCTACCCTTGAGTGCTGGTTAGAGGCTCTTAGGCTGACAGCAGACACAGGAAGAGGCTTTGTTCCATTATTCCTTTATCAGATTAAAGCCCAGATTTGTCAAAGACATCCCTTCCCAAGGAGTCAATATTCTAGAAAGGGAGGCTAAGGGACATCACATGTTGTCAGAAGCTATATTCTTCTTAAATATTATCACCCCTGGACACGTCTGCATTTTCCCTCTCCCCCACGCCCTGTGCCTAGATAGGTTACCTACTGAGCCAGCACTTTCCTGAGATTCCCCATTCACAAATGCAAAGTTCTTTCTCCTCACAGGATGCTCTCAATTCATTGCAAAGAACCCTCAGGGGCCAATGGGAAGCTCTCCTTTGGCCCCTCCAGGGTCAATGTATTCATTCTAGAAGCAATGGAGGTGGCCACTTTAACATAGCCTCTGTGAAGACATGGTTTCCATCAGGTCTGCGCAGATCTCACTTTCCAGGGTTTCTGATCTTTCACTATTACACCAAATGAAGGGTGCCAGGCCCTCATGGGCTGACCCAGTGGGCAAAGCTTCTGGACTCCTCCCAGAGAACAGAGGCCACAGCTCCTCTGTTACAAGGGCCTTTATCAGGATAGAGTGTTCTTCCAAGGCCACTGCAGTTTTTAAGATAAAAACTCGATAGGAAAATTAAAAGCATCTATTTTTACCCCGAGACTCTCAAGCCACTCCTGAAAACCTTGCAGAGAACACAAGCATTCATCCTGACCAAGGTCCTCAGAAGAGCCAGCCTCAGAAATCCCACTCTCGGTGTTTTTTTTAAAGCCCCCCTCGTTTCCTGCCAGCTTCCGCCCACTCGCTGTGTTCACTCGGTATGCCACGGGCTTTTCTCTTTCTTGCTCATCTCCAGCTGCTGAAGTTTTCGGCAGGAATCATGCAGACTTTTTTCAAGCAATTCTCTAATGTCTTGCATAACCAACCCTCAGAAATACAGGGAAGCCACGTGTTCTAAGAATGAGGAAGGATTCTTAGAGGAGAAGTCAAAGCTGTCACGTGTGGACCCACAGAACGTGTCCTTCCAGGAAGCCGGGCACAGTCGCCATCCTGGGGTACCATTTGCTCTCTTGGGATTAACTCTAACTATACATTTTGGCAGTGGAGTCTTAATTACCCCCAAGCAAGTGACAGCCTTTCTGAGGCTGAATTCCATCACAGGGTTTACAGACATGCCTTGCTCTGCGATTTTAAGGCTTAAGATTTATTCTTTCATGCTGTGATCTTGGGGTGTCTCATCCTGTTCTCTACTACAGTGCCAGAGACAAAGGCTACCAGGGCCAGGACACACAGGACACACGGGACACACAAGACACACAGGACACATCACACGGGACACACAAGACACACGGGACACACAGGCTCTTCTTTCCCTGCTATTCTGACTGGGCGGCGCCATGGAGGATCAGACAAAAGGTGACCCCCGAAGGCAGGGATGGGAATACAGACCTCACAGGGCACCAGAGCATCTGTGTAGCCCTGACGACACAGTGACAGTGTCCACTCAGCTCCTGACAACGCATGGAGAAACATCCTGCTTGGGGGGAGAGAAGACAAAAAGGAAGTGAAAAGCCAACCGACACGCTCTAAAAAGACTTTTTTCAAGTGACATCTTTCATCCCTTAAGAAAGGGCCATTTTCAGGTAACTGACCAACAGAAAACAGAATGGGATTTGATCCTCAAATTTTCAGCTAATAAGAATTTGTTTGAGAGCCGGGCGGTGGTGGCGCACGCCTCTAATCCCAGCACTCGGGAGGCAGAGGCAGGTGGATCTCTGTGAGTTTGAGGCCAGCCTGGTCTACAAGATCTAGTTCCAGGACAGGAACCAAAAAAGCTACAGAGAAACCCTGTCTCGAAAATCCAAAAAAAAAAAAAAAGAATTTGTTTGAGGCTGGGAAAACGGCTCTGTGAGGAAGAGTGCTTGATGCCCAAGCACGAGGACCCGAGTTCAGATCCCCAGCACCCATGTAAAAGCTATGTATGGTCACATGCACCTGTATCTCCAGCAGCAAGGGGTGTCAAACACTGGATTACTGGTATTTGCTGGCCACCAGTCTAACTAAAAACCATGGAGCTCCAGATCCAATGAGTGACCCTGTCTCAAGGGAATAAGGCAGAGTATGGCAGAGGACACCTGAGCACACACCTGCATCCATGTGCACATGCATACATACATATATATATATATACCACATACATACAAATAAGTCCTTTTCTGAAGGACTAGGGATGTAGCTCAGTGTGGCACGGTGCTTGTCTAAGATGCAAGGCCCTGGGTTCAATCCTCATTCAGCACTCAAACAAGTAAATGTCTTACTTGGCAAACTGAGGCAAGAGGGCCACAAGTTCAAGATCAGCCTGGGCTATATAGCAAGATATTATCTCAAAGCAAGAAAAAAATCTGAATGTGGCAGTTTGTTGTTGTTGAGACAGACAGGGTCTTGCTTGTAGCCCTGGCTGTCCTGGAACTCTGATTACCAGACTGGTCCCAAATTCACAAAGATTCACTTGCCTCTGTCTTCTGAGTGCTGGGATTAAAGGCATGTGCCACCATGTCTGGCTGAAGGCAGTTTTTATATGGTCATGAGCAAATGTGCAGGCGGCAATCAGGTACTTACGAGAAAGGTTAAGAACGGCAGACTGACAACATGCTTGTCCAGAGTCACACCACAGGTGAAATCTGACCCGACACTGACATAAAGTCACCGTACTACCGCACAGGTAATCAATCCCTGTTCTAAGGTCCTCAAGTTCGTCCTCTTTAGCCTGATGATTTTACTTATGGCTCATCTAATGCAGCTACAGGTCTTTCCTAAGAATCAACTTGTAAAATTCCACTTGTGTGTGTGTGTGTGTGTGTTTGGAGCGAGACTGTGTGCATGATGGTGTACATGTGGAGGTCAGAAAACTTTCAGGGACCAGTTCTCTCCTTCTAGCATATGGGGCTCAGTGGTCGACTCAGGCCACCACAACGGGCAGTCTTGCTGAGCCACAGCCACAGACCTCATAAACGGCAATGCTGGGGAGAACCTTAGAGATAATTGCTGCTTCATTAGTCAGCTCGGAGGCTACATGATGTAGCCAAGTCACCAGGAATAGTAGGTTTGGCAGGACGGGACTTCACCCAGCGGCAGAGCAGCTGCCTGCCATGCCTGAGGCGCTAGGTTCAGCCTCCAGAGACATGGAAAAACAGGCTATGAACTGTAGTGGAGGCTATCAGATGTAGCTTTACAGGATGCTCACCAACAGGCAGCCCTAGATGCCTGGATGCTTCCTCTCATGGGAACCATGGGGTGGGGTGGATGAGGAGACACTGATCAAGGAACTGGGCTCTCCCATGCCTCACAGCATCTAGTTTTTGTCTCTCCTCCTTTTCTGGATGCCACTTCTGGAGAAGGATGGTCTCTCTATTTCAGAAGGCCTTCTTGGGCAATCTTTATTATTTATTATTATCTTTTTATTTCACTTTAGTGGCCTTACAACCATATTTTAAAGTCACTCAGACCACTGTGTGGATCAGAAATAGTTCTAGAGGACTTTACACTGCCAACCCTGCAGATCTTTCCATGAGAGTAAACTTGTTAAACTCCCAGCACCAAACATGCAGGAAGCATTTGCTGGCTGGATTGGGAAGCAGGGAAGCTGTCTCCCTGTAGAGCATAGAGGGCTAACACACTTGCTGAGGACCTCGGATGTAGAAAGAGCTTCAGATTGTTTCCTCCCAGTATGCAGCTGTAGCTTTGTCATTTAAAGTTCTCTGTGGTGCCAGATGGAGCGGCCACTGGACAGTCCCCTCGGTCTCCCACCTCTAAGATCAGCCGGCACACGTCTCGGGCTGTCTGTGCACAGCACCGAAGTCTGAACAGTCTGCAATATCCAGCATCCAGTTTCATATCCCAAATAACACAAAATGATGTCTGAAACTTTGTAGCAATCCACAATTACCCTAGACGAAAGGTTGTCATGAAGGAGTGGCTAGGAAGGCAGAGGTGCTGTGGTGGAGCCCAGGCCTCACACACACTGGGCACGTACTCTACCAAGGGCTACATGCCCCATGCTTGGAAGTCTCAAGCAGTTACAAAGCAAATAGTTTTCAAGTAAGTGACTTTTATTTTTTTCCTCTGACATTTCACAGCCAGTTTCTATATAACTTCACACGCTCTGAAAAGATTCACATTTGGTAAAGTCTATACCCTAAGGAGGTTGTGGCTGAAAAGCCACTTCAGTATATGTGCAAGAGTAACTGTGTGCTGAGGAATCACACCAGAGAAGTCAGATGATGCTATAATCCATAAAACAATGTAGTAAATTACAAACGACGGTAAATTCTATACCTAATTCAATCAGGAACCTTTCTAAATGTGTTCCAATATTGTCAATACAACCCAACAAAGGTTCTCCTATGGGCTGGCCTGAGCGAAAACTGACTTCTCACTTTGGGAAAACAACAGCCCTGCACAACGCTTCATCAGGACCTACAGCATGCACCACTGGGGCTGTTGCTACTTACAGCTTTGGGCAACCAACGAAGATCTTTCCGGTCCACTCCAGGCTTCCTCCAAACGCTGGTCTAGCCTCTGACCTCAAAGGCTCGCTCCTTCTAAGATCTAGCTTCTCTACTAGCGTCCACCTGCTTCCAGCTCCACCAGGAACAGAACACAGCCTAGAGACTTGCAGTTGTGGCTCTAAGATCACAGAGGAGCGGTAACCCTCCCTGCCACCGAACCCTGAAGATCTACGGTGGCTTTCATCGTCTTTTATGGAGATAGGAAGGGACATGAAAAGCCATATCTAGGAGCAAGAGTCCAAGAGGCTTAGCTCCACTGAGGTCTTTTCCAGTGGAGTACATTTGGTTCTCAGCAAGTGCTTCCAGCCTTCTGACGCTCGGTAAAACTCGCGGCTGGTGCCCAGGCTGTTCTGAATGCACCTGTCTCTACAGTTTTCCTGCCAGACATTCTGCCAAAAAGGAAGCTTCCTAGTGGAGTGGCTATGATACCATACAGATTGTGGGGAGGCATATCACAAGGAGCTGAGTTTGCCCAGAGACACGGGCTCTGATTTTGGAAACTCTTTCAGAGCACAAACAGCAGGTAATGATTCTGCACTGATCAGAGAGTAAAGAGATTTTACCAAGTTGATTATTTTTCAACTAGTCATATCCAAATCATATGTCTATATGAACACAGTAGAGTTAACCTGAGTCTTACAACCAAGTCCTTAAAAACTGTGACCCATGGGTTGGAGAGATGGCTCAGAGGTTAAGAGCACTGGCTGTTCTTCCAGAGGTCCTGAGTTCAATTCCCAGCAACCACATGGTGACTCACAACCATCTGTAATGAGATCTGGTGCCTTCTTCTGGTGTGCAGGTGTACAGGCAGGAGGAACATTGTATACATAATAAATAAATAAATCTTAAAAAACAAACAAACAAACAAAAAACCCTATGACCCTTAACCCTGGATCTAGTATAGCCCCATGAGCATCTTTCTCTGTGCAGAAAGATGATGCTGGTCATAAAACCAATTTGCGAAGGACAAAGATTTTTAAGGGATAAAAATTTTAAGCAAGAGGATAGAATCCCTTGACTCTTTACTGTTTAGGCTATGGCTACCAGCACAGGGGAGCTGGGAAGAATGTGTCATCTGGACCCTCAGAGTCTCCATCCCTAAGGTCAGCCTCTGAGAGGAGCACCACACTTCAGCCCTGCTGCCACAGCTAACACGAGACACAGGGCCGCCACACTGCTCCCCATCACCACAGGGGATGGACAGAACTCAGACGTGAGGACAGGGAAGGATCCTCTCTGACTTTTGTGCCTTCTTCTAACCTCGGGGCTTTACTTAATTCAGCTTAAAAGCACAGTCACTTTTCCCCACAGAAAGAGCTGGGTGAGGCACAGACAAGAGACAGCAGAGGGTCACTTGCACCAGACCCTGAGGACCCACTGAAGCCATCTCAAGCTTCTGATTGCTAATGTTGATGGTGGCTTGTTTAATTTTATATTCATTTACTTTTCTAGCGTGTGTGTGCATGTGTGATGGACAAACTGCAGCAGTGGGTTCCCTCCTTCTACTCTGTAGGTTCTGGGAATCAAATTCAGCTCAGCCGTCTTGGCATTAAGCACCTTTACTCACTGAGCCATCTTGCAGTCCTGTCTCAGGCTTTTTAGATGTAAGACAGGTTGTGCTATTTCAAGTATGAACTAACAAAATCTTCCAGCTAGTGACAAAAAATGCTGGCTTCCCTGACCCTTTAATCAAAGAAGCAATTCATCAAACACAATTCCAGATGGTACTGAATCCAGTCTATATTTTAAAAATCTGAAGTATATGCCTACTTATGTGAGATCTGATGTATGACCAATGTGTGAATCAGATGCTCTGCCCTTTCTCTCACAACTTACAAGTGTAAGAAACAAAGCCTCGTGTGATTAAATGCTTGCACCCTGGCACAACCTGTGCCCAAAGCATTTTAGGTTTCGCCCAACTGGCACAATGCCTGGTAGAATTTAAACACAGCCTCATATTTTTCTCTGTGAGTAAGATACTTGAGGGCGGGCCGTGAAGGGCTCCTTAGGTCACCGAGTCCTTGGTTTGACGGGTGTCATTCTGTACACTCATCTATGTCACTGGACCTTGAACCATGGACAGTGAGTGGGAAGCTGGGAGACACCCACAGTTATCTCGCCTTTGTCCCAAGATCCAGCTAAGTGCCACAGGCTAAGGAAAAGGGACTCAGAGACACTCCAATTGGAGGTCTTCAGAGAACATAGATGCACTTAACCTGTGCGTGAACCACAGATTAAGATGGCAGCCAGGGACTGGCACGTGGCTTTGTGAGTGAGTTTAGAAAGAAAGCTCTTAAATAGGCTGTGGAAAACAAGTGGAGATAGAGTGCAAAAGAACCACCCAAGTAACTGGAAAACGCTTCTGTGCTAGATGACTGGGTGATCAGACAATGCGTCTAGATCGCTGCCTGAATGACTGGATCCAGATGTTAGTGAGGCCTGCAACTTGGCCCACGCCTGAGGAGCCCTGCTCTTGGTGGCCTCTATAAACATCTGGGTTTGCTCCTTCAGCTGGTCTAGTTCCACCTGAGTTGCTTGGTTTTGACGAATCAACTCCTTGGTTTTCAAAGTAATTTCCAGCAAACCAGACTTGTGGAGGACCACTAAGGTATTCTGGAAACGCCTGTGCTTGCTCTGCCTCTGCTCTGAAAAGATGTCTGGGCTGCGGCAGAGCTGCTCTGCCGCCCAGAGCGGTGAGCTGTAACTGGCCGAGAGCGGCGAAAGAGGGGAGCTGCTCTCCAGGCCGTGCAGAGTGCTGTCTGACGCACACACAGGACTGGCGGGCGAAGCGAAGGTCAGACTGGGAGCTTTAGCCACGTGACTACTGGACACGGGCTGAAGAGTCTGTGGACTCCCACCGGCCCCCAGGGAGGGCACTCCTTGCAGCGCTGAGTCCTCGGTGAGTTTGGAGCTGGGTGGGGCTGGAGTGGAAGGACTGGAGAGCACAGGGCCAGTCTTGGCTGGCTCGCTGGAAGACAGGACTGGTCCCAGTCTCTCCTTACAGATTTTCTTTGGCACCCCACTCGCTCCTCTTTCTTCCGAGCTGAGGGAGAGATTCCTTTTGCCTGGGTGAGGGGCTATTTTGGTGTAAGAATTGAGAATGGGCAAGTAGTTTCTGGAATCTGACTTTTTCTCCCCAGTATGGCAGGGGCTGACAGGAGATGGCACCGGCGGGTGAAGGACAAAGAGCTGTGGCTGTGCTGAGATCACTTCAAAGGAGGGCTGGACAGTCCAGGACTGGAGCTGGGATGAGCTGCTGCCCTGCAAGCAAGGAAAAGAGCACTGCATTCAGGATGGGGCGTGCAGCTCCCAGCTTTCACCCAAGGCAAAGGAGGCAGACGCTCAGCTACAGATGCTTTGGGCGCTGTGTGTCCCTCATGCTCAGGGGAGCCCTGGTTGAGAACAGGGAGGAAGTGGTCTAAAATACACTTATCTGATATCATACAATAAAACAAAAGAGAACCAAATCCAAAAGCAAGCACAAAAATATTTTCCTAAGGGAAAACTTGAAAAAATATCTGGGGTTTTATTTTTGTTTTCAATTCTGTCTGTGTGCCTGTGTTAGGTAGGTGCAGGTGAGTACAGGTGCCCAGGGTGCCACAGTCCAACAGGGGTGCTGGGACCAAGCTTGGGTCCTCTGGAAGAACAAGTGCTCCTAACTACTGAGCTACAGATAGAGAAACTGGAGGTAGATGAAATAGTGGCACAGTCAAGGCACAGCTGAGGCAACAAAAACAGAGAGAGCTCAATTTCCTGCAAAGTTAAGAGATGCTAAGCTCAGGCTGGGGTTCGACTCAGTTGCTGGCATGCTTGCTGAGCATGCCTGGAGTCCTGTATTGGACCCCAGCACCACATAAGACCTGGCATGGTGGCAGATGCCTATCTTCTTGGCATTCAGGAAGTAGAAGCAGGAGTATCAAGAGCTCAAATTCATCCTCAGCTACAGGAGAATTTCAAGATCAACCTGGGCTACTGGAGACCCTGTCTCAAAACACAAAGATACACCCCCCCAAAAGAAAAAAAACCCTGGAAGAGGCTAGCTTGTCACTGAGCTTCCTAGCTCCTAACCACCCTAGCAGCCTGCCAGCTGTCCTGTGTCCCTCCTGCACGTCCTGGAGCAGCCACCCTAAGCTGTAACCTGTGTGGCTTGTCGACACAGCCACAGGAGTAACAAGGAAGGCAAAAGAGAACCAGAGAGGGAAAGAGCCTGGAGTAGACACCCAAAGGTGCCAGGCATCACTGGTGAGCTGGAGCAATCTCACTTGGGCTCTACTCCCTGTCTCTATGTTCTCTCCTTTCAGTGAGGAGAGCTGAGGTTCCCGCTGAGATGGATCTACCGAGCAAAATGTTCAAATGATTGTCCAGAACTCACCAGCTGCCCACGCTGCTGACCTCGGTGTGTGTTCTTCAGAAGTGGCCAGGCAGTGTTCGAACACTAAGGGAGTGCCATGCTATGCTATAGCCATGTTCTTAGAACCTCAGCTAAGATGGGAAGGGTCAACACCAAAACCAGATTCTCAATACTCCAATACATAAATGTATCTATTTTCAGAGTAAATTACTATAAGTTTAAATGTTGTCCAACTTAAATCACTTATTCTAACTTAACCATATTTTTATGAATGAGTTCTCAATCGCAGACCCTATAACCTAACTAATATTTTCATCCACTTGTGTTTCACATCTAGATAACAACAACATGATGGTCATTGCTCTGGACTACAGCCCAGTTCAAACTACTCACAGACTTACAATCACCCACTGGACTCACACCCTTTTGGCATTGCCATCCTCAGCCCACAGAGCTGCCCTGTCACCAAGGTGTGTCTCTAGCTTAAAAACTGCCTCTGCTGCTGGAGCAAAGATGTCCTTCCTGCTGTGTTTCTTTGTTTGAAGTGTATCTTTGGCACAATGTTAATTATGTATGTCAGGTTGCCCTCTAACTTACAATCCTGCCTTCGTGTCTCCAGTGCTGAGATTACAGGAGTACACTACTGTGCAGGTTTATAAATGTTCTTATACTCCTAAATTCCCAAATCAATTCAAATTAAAAAGGTTTCCAGGGCTGTTATGTAATATGATGGTGTGTGTTCACCTAACATACACAGGGCTCAGTTTCAGTGCCCGGAGCTGGGAAAGAAAACAACAACAACAAACCCTTCTGTTTCTCCCCTGAGCTCCACCTCACGTTAGAATGCACTGCTGGAGTGGCTTTTTGGCTTGGTTCCATTATACATTACTATAGCAGGTCAAGGTCCCTGTAAAACTAGAAATCCAAAGGTAACACATTGACAACGTAAGCCCTGACTCATGTACGTCTATTTTTTGTTTTTAGGCATCTCTCTCTCTCTCTCTCTCTCTCTCTCTCTCTCTCTCTCTCTCTCCCACTCTTCACTTTCTCTCCCCCACTCTCTCTTCCCCCCCTTTCTCTCTCTGTGTCTGTACACATTAAGTAATATTATGTGTACATGTGAACTTAGGTGTCTTCAGGTCAGAGGAAGCATGGTAGAGTATTTGCAGAACATACATACAATTTAAAAAATAAATCTTAAAGTCAAAACTTTAAATCAGAAAACAAACAAAAACAAACAGCATCAGTAGTTGAAAGGTAACACTCTCTCCCAGAAGGAAAGTCCCCATCAGTGTGACTCTATCTAGTTTTTGAAACCTCCTCCTGCTCAGCGGGAGTGTCTGCACAGGAAGGCACAGAAACTTCCATGGGCAAAGGTCCTCCTCACCTGCTTGACCAGCACATTCTTCATGATCACCATCGGGGACAGCGCGGGGAAGGCACTGTTTGCAGCTCTGGAGTTGGGCTGCAGCCTGTCCTCTCTGCTCCAGCCCGAGGCACTCAGCAAGTCCTCTGATTCCATCTGCTCTGCAGAGCTCAGGCACTCTGAGCTCCCATCTGGTGGGCAGAAAAATGGTCAGTTCACGTGGGCTCTAGGCTAACAGCTCGTAACCCAGCCATGGACTCCCTAAAAGAGAAAGGAACATCTTTGACAGGTGTTTCTATGAGTTTTCTGAGGTGGAAATTTCACTGGATATTCAACAACCATTGCTCTTGCTCTAAAAGTCTAATCACTCTGCTTGACTTTCTTCAGATCCTTAGAAACCTGCATCAGTCAGGGTTTCTGTGAAAGTACTCGGCCCCAGAGTACATGAGGAATGAGTGGAAGACTCCAAAGTGAGATGATTACTTTTATTTTATGATATTAACAACTTTTTTGTTACACTTTGCATGTGTGGGGATGGGGGATGTGCATGGCTCTATTTTGAAGGCTTTGTAGGTGGCTGAGACAGGCCTTTGTGGGTTGTACCAGGTTCTGACTCTGGCCTGCTTTCTCTGCTCCTGGTCCACTGCCACACACTTCTACCCCCATAGACGAAGCTTCTATGCCTACCTTCCACCTCTAAGGATTGACTGAGACTATTATGAGCAACATAAACCTTTCTGTCAGATATTTTGGTTGTGGTGATGAGAAATAAAACAAATGTTCTCCCTATATGAATTCCACATAAAAGGAATGCAGCCAGGTGCATGCTAGAAGAAACCAAGAGATGATTGTACCTTGTTACAGAGGTTTCTTGGACTATTCTAAACGTTAACTAATGTGGACCTCAGTTGACAGAGAACTTTCTGGGCATCACAGCCCTAGGGTTCATCTCCAACCACATAAGCTCGGTCTGGTGGTACATGCCTCCACTGAAAAGGTGGAGGCAGGGGCTGGAGAGATGGCTCAGAGGTTAAGAGCATTGCCTGCTCTTCCAAAGGTCCTGAGTTCAATTCCTAGCAACCACATGGTGGCTCACAACCATCTGTAATGGGGTCTGGTGCCCTCTTCTGGCCTTTGAGCATACACACAGACAGAATATTGTATACATAATAAATAAATATTTTAAAAAAAAAGATGGAGGCAGGAGGATCAGGAATATAAGGTCATCTTTGGCTACATAGTGAATTTGAGGTCAGGGATACATGAGTACTACAGAGAGAGAGAGAGAGAGAGAGAGAGAGAGAGAGAGAGAGAGAGAGAGAGAGAGAGAAGAACAAACCAGGTGTGGTAGCATGTGCCTACAATCCCACCACTCTAGAAGCTGAGCCAGAAGGACTCCAAGTCCAAAGTAATTAAAATAAATGTAAACATCAACAATTTTATCTTGTGCAGTTTGGCAAAGACTATGTGATCAGAAAGATATTTATCAAGAGGTTCATGTACCACTAGGCCCAACTAAAAGATTATCTTTACAATAAAGAAATTTGGTACATAGTACCTTTTAACCAAGGGATCAGTGATGTGGGATGTCCTTCTGTATATGTGTTGCTTCTACTGGTTGATGAACAAAGCTCATTTTGGCCAATGGCTTAGCAGGGTAAAGCCAGGCAGGAAACAGAACAGAGATATAGAGAGTAGGTGGAGTCGAGGAGATACCATGTAGCCGCCAAAGAAGAAAGATGCCAGATCTTTACCAGTACCATGAGCCTCATGGTAAAATATAAAATAACAGAAATGGGTTAATTTAAGATGTAAGAGCTAGCTGGAAATATGCCTGAACCATTGGCCAAACAATGTTGCAATTAATATAGTTTTTGTGTGATTACTCGGGTCTGGACAACTGGGAAATTGAAGTGCAGTCTCCTTTTACAGATCAGAGTACCATCAGCAATGAGGATGGGAGCTGGAGCAATGACTCAGCAGTTAAGAACACTTACAGAGGACCCAGGTTCAATTCCCAGTACCCATATCAGATGAGCCACAACCTTCTATAACTCTAGTTCCAGGGGATCTGATGCCCTCTGCTGGCCCCCAAAGGCACCGGCATGTATGCAGTGCACAAACTTAAAAGAGACACATACATACAAATAAAGAACCAAGTATTTTTTAAAAAGAAAAAAAAATGAGACTAACTTAACAGTTTTCTTGTGCTTTGGGATATGTACAACATCAACAATGCAGTGATCTAATGACTCCAAATGGAGAAGCTATCAGAAAATCCAGAATGCGGGACATTCTATAAAACTACAGTCCTATCTTGTTCAAAGATGTAAATGTCATAACAGAAAGAAAAGATGGGAAGCTATTCTGGGTTAAATAAGGTTAAAAAGGCAGGCTATCTATATACAATGCACACTTCTCAATGGCAAATAGCTATAAGGACATTACAATGGGAAAAATCCAGATAGACTGCGGTCAGAGAGAATTCAATCAGGGTTGACTCTTGGATATAATAATAGCATTATAATTCTATAGAAGAATGCCCTTGTTTCTGAGATTCATACTAAAAATTTAGAGATGAAATACTCATTGTTTGAAATTTACTTTTCAAACAGTTAAGTCAATGTATGCATGGGGAGGATATGAATAAAGAAAAAATAAAAATTCTTAGTGGATCTGAAAGAAAGCATCCTTGTTGTGGGGGACTCATTCACTTTCCTTTAGGTTTGAAATTTCTCAAAATAAATTTGGAAAAATAACTAATATAGAAAATACCATCCATTTTGGTTCTGCAAATTTTACTGAAGTATTTCTCGACCAGGCTTCTGGCTAAGACCAAGTGAGAATTCCATCATCTCCAAGGCAACTGGAATAATTCAGGCAGCAACCATGTCCCTGGAACCTGCCCAAGAGTGACCAGTGTTCACTGGCACTGCCTCCTCAAACAGGAATGAGGGTGGCCACTTTTACCACCACTCTGTGTAGAACTGTACTCATTCAAACAACCGGCCTGACAAAGCTGGAGACTTTAGAAGACAGAGCTAAATGCCAATGGTCCTGGGAATTAGAAACAGAAAGACTGTGGGTGAGGTTTGTTTCCTTCTTTGACTCCCCAAGTGACTAGACTTTTACTATGAGCATGGATTACCTTTATGATCTAGAATCAGATCAAAAGGCAAATGTGATATTGAAAGAGAAAAAAGCCCTTCAGTGTTTTCCAGACCTTTGACCTTGTTTTATAGGCCCCACTTTCCAGGCCCTTCCCCAGCCTCAGTACCAGAATCTCTAGGAGGGTCTAGGAAGCTAAATCTTTAATAGATGTTTCAAGTGGGCTTCATGGTACAACAAACCTGGTAAGCAACTCCATTCAGAGAAGGGAACCCAAAGTACTTCAGGCTGGCTCACCCTTCCCTGGACTGTCCCTGGGCAGGACACTAATTCCTCTGTTCTAATCCCCTGGGTCAGTGCTGTCCCTCTCTGAGTAATATTCTATTTATAATTGAGCTTCTCATTCAGCATGCCTACTAGACAGAAACATACCAATCTAAGAGGTGGAGAGTCCTCGATTTCCTGACAGCAGAGTTTCCCAGTGTAAGTTAGTAAGGCAGTTACAGGAGTGGATTGTCTCTGCAGTCTGGGTAACACGTATAAACCTTTCCCTAGAAAAAGCTCCAATCCCCTGGCATCATGCTGAGAATCTCCTGGGACAATACTGTTGACACTAATTCAATATTTAGAGTAGTACTACCCTCAGCCCTGGAAAGAAGAAGCTCAGCAGGAGATTACGAGGTTGAGGTGGGGGTGCAGGCAGCCATTCTGAGGGAGGCTTTGGACGGCTGCCCTACTATCATTCTTTTTTTTTTTTTTTTTTTTTTTTTGGTTTTTCGAGACAGGGTTTCTCTGTGGTTTTGGAGCCTGTCCTGGAACTAGTTCTGTAGACCAGGCTGGTCTCGAACTCACAGAGATCCGCCTCCCTCTGCCTCCCGAGTGCTGGGATTAAGGGCCTGCGCCACCACCACCCATCTAATTTATTTATTTTTATTCTATGTGCATTGGTGTTTTGCCTGCATGTATGTCTATGTGAGGATGTTGGGTCCCCTAACACTGGAGTTACAGACAGTTGTGAGCCTCCATGAGGGTGCTAGGAATTAAACCCTGGTCCTCTGGAAGGACAATCAGTGCTCTTAACCACTGAACCATCTCTCCAGCCCTTTTTCCTTTTTTTTAAAGATTTTTTTTTCTTTTGAGCCAATGTGTGGTGGTGCATGCCTTTAACCCTGGCACTTGGGAAGCAGAGAAGGAAGATCACTGTGAGTTTGAGTTTGAGGCCAGTCTGGTCTACACAGTAAGTTTCAGGACAGGCAGGACTAAATAGACAGACCCTGTCTCAAATAATAGAAATGATGATAAAGATAATAAAAGATTTGGTTGGGGGCGGGGGTGTTTAGTTTTTATTTTTTGAGAAAGGGCCTCATTATGTAGCCCTGACTGACTTGGAACTCACAGAGATCCACCTGCCTCTGCCTCCCAAGTCCTGGTATTAAAGACATATTCCACCATCCTCTCTCAAAGATTTGTTTACGTCCCTTTATGTATATGTGTGTGTCTGTTTGTCTGTCTGTATAAACATTCACCAAGTACATGCAAGTGTACTCAGAGACCACAGAGGGAATCAGACCTCTGGAACTATTGTTACAAGTGGCTGTGCACCACCTGATGTGTGTGTGGACACTGAACTCAGGTCCTCTGCAGAAGAAGCAAGTGCTCTTAACCTCTAAGCCATCTCTCCAGCCTCCTGTTCTGCTTTCTTAGCTCTAATGGAGTTGACAGCTGGGCTAGACGGATCACAGTCCAAACACAAAGTGTATAGTTATTAGGAAAAGCTGTTAGGAGGGGACTTTTTTAAGTATAGCAAAATTACTTTCTAGGCAACTGTTAACAAATCATAATTGGCCTACCACATAAAGATGGTTCAGCCAATGATGGGCCACATATGAGATGATGACTATACCATATAGCCTAATTATGTAACAGGCTGTATCATCTAGGTTTATGAAAGTAGACTCCAATGTTCACACAAAGATAAAAATCCCATAAGGACCAGCTTCTCATTACATAATACATGACTGCATCACTTTTAACTGACCTTCATGCTGTTACAAGGCAAAAAGATATGAAAAAGGAGTTAATGCAACAGAATTCTGACCATTTTTAAAAACACTTGTCTTTGAGATAGAATATCATGTAATTCAGATTAGCCTTGAACTCATATGTAGTTAAGGATGACGCTGAACTTCTGACCCTCCTGTTTCTCCCTTCCAGAGCTGGGATTCCAGGCGTGTGCCAGTTCACCCAGTTTTATGAAGTGCTGGGGACCCTGCCCAGGACTTCCTGCATATTAGGCAAGCACTCCACAACTGAACTGTATTTCCAGTCCACGTTTAAATAACTTTTCTAGTAACTACAGTTTGAAATGTAGGACTGAAAGTTAAAAGTCAGGAGCTGGAGAGATGGCTCAGTGGTTAAGAACTCTGAATGTTCTTCCAGAGGACCCAGGTTCAATTCCCAGCAGCCACATGGCAGCTCACAACTGTCTGAAAATCCAGTTCCAGGAGATCTGACACCTTCACACCAATTCACATAAAATAAAGTTAAATAAATCATAACAAATTATTCTTTAAAAGGGAAAAAGAAAGTTTAAAGTCTAAATTGAAAAGAACAGCAAATTATTTTTTCAGAACTAATTCCATGGAGCCTTGATGTATATATGCCATGAGATACCAGAATTACCACCAACACCCCTTGCTTTCAGAATTGCCGTTTTTAACAGCTCAGAGGGTTATTTATCCTGCGTGTGAAAGCTTTTTATTTTTCTTACACAAATGAGTTTCAGGGAGAAATGTCTCCACACAAATCATTCAGTAAAAGGCAGAAGAGTGAGATATTGCTAACCTGAAAAGCCAGAGTCCTTGTCTGAGTCGGCAGCCACCACGCCGAGCGGTCGAGCTCCTCTTTTCACCTCTGGGCCGCGGCCTGGCTTGGCAGAGAGCCTTCGAGGGCTCTCTCTGGATGGCATTTTCCTCTCCATGGTCAGTGTGCTGGGAGCTGGACCACAGGCGATCTTCGCATATGGACTGCTCTATGAAAACAGCAGTGACATAAGAAGTCATTACCTGGAGCGTGAGCCAGGTGAGCCAAAAGGTGAAGAAAGGAAGGCAAAGGATGCTAGCCTCACCCACTGTAGGAGCACCTCCTGTGGTCTTGGCTGACCAAGCTTCAAGTTTACTAAACAGAAAGGTTTCCACCCAAATGGAGGTTCACCATCCCCTTGCTGCCCTCTGCTTCCATTGTGAATTCAAGGCACACAAACCACATTCAGTGGAAGCTTTGTGAACTGCTAACAAAGGGACATTTGATTAGCCTTTTTGGAATGGGTAACCAAATAAACTTGCCCTCCTCCCTGAGGAGAGGAGAGGTAACAGCAACCAGCAAGGGTGCTTTCCCGGTAGACCTCTGCATGATTAAAGCCATACTTACAGTTCTCAGAATGAAGTACTGAGCAGAGTACCAATGTCAGACACGCATGCATAATTACACATACGATCTCAAAAGATTTTTTTATGCTTAGTGCATTTATTTTTGTGTATGTGTATACACTTGAGTGAGCCCCCATGTGCCATGATGCATGTGTGGAGGTCAAAGGACAGCTTGTAGGAGTTAGGCCTATCCTTTCATGTCATGGGTCCTGGAGATCAAACTCAGGCTGCCAGGTGGCAAGCACCTTTACCTGCTGAACTACCTCACTGGACACCTATATACTACTTTTTAACATAAAACAATAACCCCCCCCCCAAAACAACCCACAAGGGGACTGGAGAGATAGCTCAGTGGTTAAAAGCACTGGCTGCTCTTCCAGAGGACCCAGGTTCAATTCCCAGCACATGACAGTTCACAACTGTCTATAACTCCAGTTCCTGGAGATCTGACACCTTCACACCAATGCACATAAAATAAAAGCTAAAGAAATTATTAAAAAAAAAAACACAAAACTTTTACACTCCTGAAAATATAGCTCAGTAGTAGAATGCTTACTTAGTATACTAAAGGCCTAAGTTTGATAACAACAAAAAAGCAAAAACTTTTACAATAAACGTCATATTTAAGAAGTGTTTACGGAGAGTGGGCTGAAAAGATAGCTCAGCAGTTAGGAGCAGGTTTGATTCCCAGCACCCACATAGTGGCTCACAACTACTCTAGTCCCAGGGGATCCAATGCCCTGTGTGCACTAGGCACACAAGTTGTACACAGACATACATGCAAACAAAACACTCCATATACATAAAATTTTAAAAAGGTAAGTGCTTAAATTGCATAAGGGTATGTAACATTCATTGCTGCTAATTCTGTTCTCAAGTTTCACAAGATCCTGCTCAGCCCTAATCCCATTTCTCAATGAAGCTCAGATACATCACATTCAGTCACATGTATACATAAAAAACATGTATCAAGTGCTCCTATCAACTGGGCATTGTGACTAGAACAATTGTGTTTATATCCTTCCTGCAGCCTGTGATCTAGAGAGAGAGGAACAGATATTAAACAAGTATTCACACAACTGACGGTTAAGTTGACAGGAGCTATGAAGAAGTGAGGCTAAAGGTCAGGAGCACCAGGACAGTGCCGTGCGGCTGGAATCTGGAGCACGAGGATACCCTAAACTGACAATGGGGTGGGGGAAGAGCAGACACACAGGACAGACAGGCCTTGAAGTTGCACATGCTGGAAAGACTGTGGATATTAACTAGGGGACAGTGGAAGTGGTGGCACACTCCCAGAACTCAGGGGCAAAGTTAGGTGGACCTCTGTGAGTCTGAGACCAACCTGGTCTATACAGTGAGTTTTAGGCCAGCCAGGACTACCTAGCCAGATCCTGTATTAAAACAACAAAAACAAGGGACACTTTGGGGATAAGAAAACAGGATGCCACAAAGGAAAAGAGTAATATCGAAACTAGGCAGGCATAAGCAAAGTCTGGGGATGCTTTAATTCACAGTCTACTTAGGACTCCAAGCTCCTCAGCCAAGCAGCACTGTGCCTGGAATATCCTGAAGCCATACCTGAACATTTCTGCTAGTTCAGGACCTAGTGAACTAGAGGGAAGACTCACGGTGAAATGAAACAGGAGACACATGCTTCCATGCTACCGTGAGTAACCTCTTGCTCATATACATACAGACCACAGGTTCTCAACATGTGGGTCGCGACCCCTTTCACAGGTCCACATATTAGAATCCTTCATGTGGATACTTACATTACAATTCATAACTGTAGCAAAATTACAGCTATGAAGTAACAACAAAAGTAATTTTATGGTTGGGGGTCACCACACATGAGCAACTATATTTATTAAAGGGCCACAGCGTTAGGAAAGTTGGGACCATGTTATAGACCATTGCAGTCACTCATCCAGATCAGGTCAAACCACTCTTCTACCAGTCCCACACAATGACAAGCAATGACACTGTCACATTGATCAGAGCACTGCCCAAAGGCAATGTTTCTCTGTTGGACAGCGATGATGTCTGATAGCCTGGGCAACCCTGTTTAAAAAGCAGACTAAAATGTAAAACCATATCCCTAATTAAAGCAGGAGCCTATGAAAACCCAAGAAATGCATCTAGTATAATTTTCCTTAACTAATGCTGTTCAAAAATGAGCAAAGCCTTCTTGAAAAGGAAACTAGATGTGGCTTCTGGACAGCATGCAGACTAAGGTCTACCCTAGCTGCTGGCCCAGGGTAGGGCAGCTCACGTCAGATGCAGCTAATTACGAATCTGAGACAGCGTCAGGCTAGCTTACTAGACACAGGACATTTTACAGGCATGTTAGAAAAAACATCCCAAATTAGTCTTCTATGACCCTCGTGACTAGACAATGAGAAAAGTTAATAAAATGTTAGTACTGTTTAAAAAAAATGCAGTCGGTGGAACTACAGAAAAACACACAGGAAGTTACTCTGGTTCACAGAGAATTTACAGGGTAATGTTGACTACAGAACCAAAATACAGAAACTTTGATAAATCTGTTACATTCTAAAATTTTAGATTCTAGGGAACTGGTGGCAATTGGGAATAAAAACAACAAAACCCACACAATTGGCTTTAGAATGGCAAGATATCTATTCTGGATGCAAAAAAAAATGATTAAAAATATGAAAGCCTGTCTTCTTGATAAAGTTCTGCTTAAGCAGGAAGACAGCCTTAGTGTTACAGCCGAGCCGGCCCATGTGGGAAGGAGTACCAAAGTTATACCCACCTCCCTTCTTTGGGAGGGAGTGGGCTCACATACACAACAGAAGAAACCCTGGGCAGAAAAAACGGAGCGGTGGTATTTCCCACCAGCACCCCTTAAGCCCAGGACCACACAAACGGCAAAAGCTAAAACCTCAAGAAACCAAGAGGGTTTTATTTTTCCCTCCTCAGTACTATGTTATGATAAAGTTACTTACAAGCATTTGAAAATGGGATAGGTGGTCTTTACCCGCCACTTCATCTCTCTGCTTCCCGACAAAGACAGGAAGCCACTATGGCTTTCTACGCATGAGGACTAACTGATGCTCCCACACAGCAGAGCGACCCTAACTGGACCTCATTTGAATATACTTGCTACACATTATCCAAAAGGTTATCACTCGGACAGTATACAGCAAAATTCAATCTGGGAGCTCAGTCAGCACAAAGGCTCATATCAACTGGCACAGGACATTCCCGGAAGTACTCCACAGCACCTGGGGCTTACTTCCATTTTTCAGTCTTGAATTAGCGTCATTATTCGTCGCTAGAACCTCAGAGTTGTTGGTTCTGTTTTTATTTTGTTTTCATCTTTGCAACAGACTTGTGAGGTATTCAAGAGAATAATAAATTCTAACAAATCTCAGTCTGGACGTCTCTGAAAGCCAAAGCAGTTTCGCTGTCGTCAAAACACCGGAATGCAGGTATTGACAGTCAAGACTGCATCTCCAAACACCAGGATCACCTCAAGATCTAAATTTCAGGTCTAGCCCAATATACCCCATACTCTAAGATGAAGCCATTGGGACACGTACATCAACTGAATTAAAAGCTGGTGTGACCCACTGTCTCTGGGGAGTTTGGAGTTTGGGATACAAAGCCACCAGAGGGCTCCCCTTTTACAGCTACTTGGCAACATTCCTGAGAGCGAGCTCATGCTCCCTTTAAATGTGTCACGTGTACGACATGCTGTGTCACGTGTATGACATGCGTGCACGGAGAGGTGTGAGGTGAAGGCCCAAGCAAAGGCTTATTTAGAATAAAGTGGTAAGGCCATCGAAAGTAGATCCTTTATCGGCCATAAAACCACAGCTTTTACAAATGGATTAGTAGGTTTTCTCTGAAGTTCCTTTCTTTTAATCTGCGTTCTCAGAATTACCATTCCAGGCGAATGTGCATTTTAGTGGCGGAAAAACTGCACCTGCCTATGTGTCTCTTATTCATGTTCTCCTTCGTTCTCCTCTCCATTCCCCAAAACTGGCTAAGATCCTGCTCTGCACCACACAGTCGCACGGCTTCCCACGGCTCTCTCCATCCTCCTTCGAAGGGGGCTGTGGGATTCGAGAACGTCCTCAGACCACACTTTAAAAGGGGGCTCACAGGAACAGTGCCCACCTACCCACTCGCACCAGCCCACATGACGTCTGTGCCAGGCACCATGCACTCCCTCCAGGCATCAGCTAGCCTGCCAACTCAACAGGGCAGAATTGGGCAGACCACAGGACTGTGCCGTGACTGGCATACCACCAGTCGCCAGGGCAAAGGCTCAGGCAATGCCTATTGCCAGGACTTGGGCAACAAACAGAGCAAAACTGCCCGACCCACCCACTAACCACTGACTTCTTACTTGGCACTATCCAGCCGCCTTCTTCCTCACAACCCTCTCTCTTTGGCACCACGCCTGGCTAGTTGGCCTAAAGTGGGGGACCGAAGGCCTCCGGAATAGACAGTGCAACCTGTGTCCGGGCATAGCTCCTAAATGAAGATCCTGGACACTCACTCACCTGGGCTGACTCACTCGGTAAGCAGCCCTCATGCCCACCAACCGGCCCGTTCCCAGACCCCTCTGCTTACAGCCCGGCAAGGCTTCAGGCTCTCCTCCCGCAGGAGCCCGGGTATGCGGGGCCAGGCCAGGGCACACGTGCCCTAAGGGACTCACACCACTTGCCCCCTCACACGAGGCCCCTCCCTACAAACACACCGTCTCGGCCTCACCCCAGATTCCCTATCCCACGCGGGCCCGACCCTGACAGCACACCGACTAGAAGCAAGCCAGGGATGGCGAGTTCCTCTGCTCCCAATATTTGGCGCCCCCGTTCTCCAAAAGTCCTGGTTCTCCTTTGTGTCTACTCCGCTCTCCTTCCTCTCCCACCTGCTTTCTCGGTGCTTCCAGTCCCAGCCTCCCAGTGTCGCCATCCCAGTTCCCCCACCACACAACAACCACCGCCGTGCCCGGAGTCAAGCGAAGCCCTGCCTGTCTCACCTACGGCCAGGGTCGCCGCTCCACCACCAGCCCGGCGGGTCAGCCGGCGCATGCGCGAGCCGGGCCCCACGACTCCATGACAACCCGGTATTCGCCGGGTCTCTAGCTATCCCCCAGGCCTCCCGCCCATTTCTCCACCCCCTCGCCTCCGCGACGGCTTTCGCCGGTCACGTGACCCGGCTCCGCGGAACCAGCACCACGGAGACTGCGCGCTGTGCTCCTAGACGGACACTTGAAGACCCGCCCCCCCCCCCCGCTTGCCCGTTCTACGCCGGAAGACCTGCGGCGCTCTCTCCGCAGCGGAGGTCCTCTCTATGGTCGGCACCGACGGCTTCGCCGCCATTTTGTCGCGTTCCTCCAGTTATTGTGTTGAGAGCAAGCACATAGGAATAGGACTGGGTGTTGAGGGCAGGGGTGGTGGCTTCTAGCCACCCGGCAGGAGTCGGGGTTCGTCTGGGGACTCTGAGGGGAAGCTACTCTCGGGGTGTGTCTCCTGGGGACCGGAACCGGACGCGCCGGGCCTGGGGTGGCCGCAGCGCCCAGCGTGGGAGGACTCCGGCGGGCTGGCAGCCCGGCGCGGTGGCCCTGCGGCTCGCTCACATTTTTGCCACGCCTGTCGCCTGGTTTGCTTTCCCGTCAACCCTGCAGACCGTGCCCGAGGGCTAGACGCAAAATTAGTGGGATGACTTCATGCCATTTGATGTTTGCCTCGCTTTGCCCGGGCTGTGGGAGATGTCGGGTTTTATAGACGATGTCCCGTACCTGGCCCTGGGAAGCTGCCCCTCGAATACCATGAAGGGAAACGGGAGCACAAAAATGAGCGTAATCCCTAAGAGGAGTGCTTCACAGCTTAAAAGGAGGACTGTTCGAACTTGGTTCTGGAGCTATCCTTGTCTGTCCAACCCGGTACTCCAGGAAGTGCTGTTAAACATGAAATAAAATGAGGGTGTTACGGTTTCGGCCGCATTAGCGGTGTCAAGAGCTCAGGGACCACATGCAGCTAATGGCTGCTTTATTGGACAGCGAAGATTATCGCATGTTCTTGGCACTGCAGATAGTTAAATTGGACCTTGCGGATCTAGACGGCGAATGGTCCTGCATTGGTAATCCAAGCAGCTTAAAGGTCATAGTTAATCACATTATTCGTCCAGACACAGATGAAGCTAATGTATTAGCATGAATGTACTTACTAGCATAAGCCCTCCCAGCAAGTAATAGTTGAATGCCTGCACCGTGTAAGGCTGTTGTTTGGGAAATGGAGGAAATGAAAACAATGGCTAACCATTATATCATTAAGAGCCTGTAGCTTTGCGGGCATTTCTCAGGACGCCTCAAAAATTGTATGGCGTCGATGCCCTTGGTTATACACCAGGGAACTGAATTTTGTGCCTCTGACACAGCTGCAAAGCCTGAGCTTAACAGGGAAGACATACTGCCCTTAACTAAAAACGATCCTTGCTTCAAACACCTTAAAGATTAAACACTTGAAATAAAACGGTCTAATAACCAGCATGAGAAAATGTAAGTGCCAAAAAAAGTGAGCAAATCAATAAAAGCAAAGGAGAAAAAAAATTATTCAGCTTGAGTCATTGTTGAAAGGGGAAGACACTAGGTAAAGCTGTAAGTGCAGATAAAAGTCATTTTACAGTAACGGAAGTGGGATAATGCACACGGACGGAAATGAGCAAATGAAATATGCAGATTCGTGAGGAATGACTTTGTCTTGGACCTCAAAAAGGGGAAAATAAGTCAGATTTCCCTTGCATATTAGCAGACAGCTACTTGCATTTCAAAATAAAATCAGTGGTATGTATGGATAAACGTAATTTTATAAGTATTTTACTCTGTGAGTCTATATGAAGAAATTCATAAAAGAAGATAGGATATTATTGGGTAGCCGAATCATTTTTTTTCTTCCTTTATTGATTTCCCAGGGTTGTAAATTGGCCCCTGAATGGATAGTTCCTGTGGCCTGGGGCCTTTAATCATTGTTCTAAGATTCTTGGTTAGGCTAAGGTCCCTGTTAATGAAGAATAGATTTTGAAGCATGATTCTTTTGACTTTCAGGTCTTAGCAGTTTAAATCCTCCCCAGTACCGCTGGAGGCTAAAGACTTACCTTACCAACACCATCTCCAGTAGGGGGAGACATGATACCTTAAATGCTGCACTAGAATTTGAGACTAGATTTCTCCCTGCAAGCAGAGGTGGGTCAGAAATCTCAACTCTGTCCAGTCTACTTCAATAAATTATCACCTATTCATATGAGGATTTGACTTTTTAGTTTCATGTGAGGTGTGGATTGTGTATGTATACATGTATGTATATGTATGTACATGTGTGTGAGATTTTATATTAATATTATACACACACGTATATATACATATATATAAACCTTTCAACTTGTAATTTTTCTTTATTTGTACGTTATGTCTCACTATGTAGCTGTGTCTGGCCCGGCCTAATACTCACTTTGTAACCCACGCTGACCCCACTTTAAGCTCACAGTAGCTCTCCTGCCTCTGCCTCTTGAACGCTGGAACTACAATGCCTGGTATACTGTCTAATATATATAAGTAAAAATCATTTTGTCAGGCTTGGTGGTACATTCCTATAATCCTAGCTACTTGTGAGGCTGAGGCAGAAGGATGACTTGAGCCCAAGAGGTCAAAGCTACTCTGGAGATAGGGGCTGGGGAAAGATCCCAGTGTTTAATAATTAATACATAGACTTGAATTTAAAATTACAGTTATTTTAAAAATCATTTACTAGATACTAGTAATATGAACCAAGGAAACCATCCAAAATAACTAGTTTCAAATCCCAGCTTCTTTCAGTATCAATTTATAAAAGAAAAGGCATCTTGAGATCCCCTATACGAAAGATGTAGCTATAATCACAATGTAAAAATTGGATAATTTCAAGATGGGCATGGTGGTGTACACCTTTAATCCCAGCACTCAGGAGGCTGAGTTGGAGGCCAGCTTGCTCTACAATACAAGTTCCAGGACAGTCAGGGCTGCACAGAGAAACCCTGTCTCAGAAATCAGAGTCATGCAAAACCAGAGACACGTTCTCATTTCTCCAGCTTTACCAAGAACCAGAAAAAAACACGAGGACTGGATCGGTTCCTGGACCAGCATTTGGGAGCCAGTGATTGCATTTTTCTGATTTCCCTTGGCCATCTGTAACATCCTCTAGTCTTAATCAGTACCTGGCATTATTATTATTATTGTTTTTTTTATTTTTCGAGACAGGGTTTCTCTGTAGCTTTGGTGCCTGTCCCGGAACTAGCTCTTGTAGACCAGGCTGGCCTCGAACTCCCAGAGATCTGCCTGCCTCTGCCTTCCGAGTGCTGGAATTAAAGGCGTGCGCCACCACCACCCGGCAGTACCTGGCATTATTGATGCTGGCCAATTAGTAGAGTGAAAATCTGCTGGTGTGGTAGACACACGTGTGTGCACCGGAGGGTCTGCTGGTGTGGTAGACACACATGTACACTGGAGGGTCTGCTGGTGTGGTAGATACACGTGTGCACTGGAGGATCTGCTGGTGTGGTAGACACACATGTGCACTGGAGGGTCTGCTGGTGTGGAAGACACGTGTGTGCACTGGAGGATCTGCTGGTATGGTAGACACAAGTGTGCACTGGAGGGTCTGCTGGTGTGGAAGACACGTGTGTGCACTGGAGGG